ATAAGCGCTTGGAAAATGTTTCACCGTCCATTTCCGAGAATAAAAATTGATTCGATGTTTTTCATGATTTTGCTACATTTTATTGAAAGTAATTAGTATTTTAAAATTTTTCTATTTCAATGACATCATAACTAAAAGTTAACTTTTAATATGAATTATTTAAATTCAGTCGGCTATGCTACAAAAGTAAATGTAGCCTTGGGAAAAAACACTTCCTCTTCCAGCACTTATGACGGACAGTCGTGTTGGTTCTATTCATCAAAAGCTGTGGACGGTGACTATGGGAATGAAGTTCTATCCTGCAAGTGTTTCCACTCTGCAGACCTCGCTAAACAACCAAACTGGATGTGTGTCGACATGGCCAGCACGTACACTGTGGATTATGCAAGACTGTTGAGTCGAAATGCCGAACGTAATTATATTGTCATTGATAATAACATGAGTTTCAATATAGATGTGATCATATAAATTTTTAAAATGTAATATGCTTATATCCCATTATTTTAAAATAATGTTTTCGTATTAACAGCTCAAAGAATGGATTACTTCATTGTTGGGGTGGCGAGTGACAATCCATCTTCCAAGCCACCAGTCAGAGGCGCATATTTGTTTTGCGGACAGTACCCGGGTAGAGCGCAAGTCTCCATGTGGCACATTCTGAAATGCAATCCCTTTTTACCCAAACAACAGTACTTGATCGTTCAACAACCTGTCAGTGGGCCTGGATATTTGACCGTTTGTGAGTTGGAAGTTTATCCTGCTGATGTTGTTTCAGGTGGGAATTTTTTTATACAATTACATATTTAATATTTTACAAGCATTTGTTGATAATTTAAATTAGTTTGAAATATTTTTAGCAAATAAAAGTTGTATTAGTTAAAACTCTTGTAAAGATTGGTTACTTCCACGATTTCTGCAGCTCATAATCATAGAGCATTCTATATTCTGCAAGATTTAATTTTAAAAATTTTATTTAAAAAAATTTAATTTTATTTCTTGTTTTATGGGAGTCAACCCTAGATAAGCATTTATTGCTAGGCTGACTTTTTTCACTTTTTTTGTGAATAAATGGAATTAAAAAAAAAAAAAAAATGTAAGCTTCAGAGTTGACTCGGTGTGTGCTTGCTTGTTTATTTTTTCTTTATAGACTCAAAAATCACTAAACCGATTGGTTTGAAATTTTATATATATAGGTTTTAAGACGTCGAAATTATAAGCGATTGGTAATATGTTGATTGTTTGAACACAAACAACGTTTTTCTGCAATGGTTGTTTTCCAATGAAGAAGATCTATTTGACTTGTAAATGACTGTTTAGATCTCCAAAAATATGAGTTTGTCCACTAAACTGTGCTAGGAGTTCGAGAAGTTAACAAAACTTTGTGAAAAATTGCTAGCATTAACGGAGACGATATCGTTTTGTTGCTAACGTCACGATCACCATGTTGACTGAATGGCTTTGAAACAATGAAAGGGGCTTTGTGACAATGTTTGAATGTTGAAACTTTAATTTCAAGCAAGCGAAATGACGCATGTTTAACAACCAGCTGAACGCAAACAATGTTTGTATTATATAATACTGAGTATTACTACAATACTGAGTATTACATAATATTTCTAGTGAGATGAAAATATTTAAAATTTTGTTACGAGTAGAATAGGGTTTAAGATTTGTAACGTGAAAAATTTGCAAATTCTTATTTGAACGTTTTTGTCTAATAATAATATTACTGATTTTTTATTTTAAACACATAATTGAGGCTCAGATGTGTCGCAGACAATTTGGACGAAGCAGTACATGGATGAGCCGACGAAGACATACAACGTCATGTTGCTCGGCAACGTGTCGCACGAGACGAGGAGACGCAGCTTATTGGACTGTGTGGTTCTGTGCAGTGTTGAAGCGTCGAGGCAATGTGACTCGTTGAACTACTGCAAGTCATCGGGTCTCTGCCAGTTGAACTCTCACAAGTATGGCTACCAAAGAAGCTCCATTCAAATTGTCAACGATGATACATGTCGCTGGTTGTTACCAAGTTACCCGTAAACAAAATTTAATCGATGAAAATTAGTGCATGATATCATTGGAGTTTTGTTTAAATGTCGCTTCGTGAGTTATTAACTTCATGCTATGAATATTTAATGCATTCATTATATTACGCTACAGAAGTTGATACTTAATGGCTGAACAAATTTAAATTCATTCATTCATTCTAAATCTTTTTCATAGAAATGTTGATTCTGTCGTTCTATCGATATTACTGAGTGTATAATAAAGACAGAAGGTTCCTAAAAATATTTTTGTTGGTTATTTTGATTTTCCATTCAACAGTTAAACTAAACATAATAAACAAGAATATGAACTTTAATAATTTAATATGGATATAAATGAAAATTTGAGTTATTTTGCGTTGCTGCATACACGAAAGTACACAGAAACATTCCAGACTCGAGGACCAAACAATGCAAAGTTTCGAGATCCAAGTTTCATTTGAGTCGATTTCAGTCGACGGAACAGACAGATAGCATAAACTGTCCGAACGCAAGCCGAAAGAAGATGAAGCTTTCAACCGGCATTTATTTATCAAATACTATGATGCCGAATTATGCATACACATGAACGTTATTGTACAAACGTTAAAAATTATTCGCTTGTCGACAGTCAACCAATGAAACTGAGAAAGAATCGGAAATACATGATTGAATTTATATGCTCCGTGAAAAATTTTTGCTGCACGATATTGAATATTGAATAGACTGTAACAATCTAACATATTTATCGGTATCGGGTATACTGTTGCAGTAGTCCAACCGAGAGTGAATGATTGCGAATCTAGAAACGACGCTTGCGAAGAGTATATAAGCGCACGTCGCAAGAAGATTCGTGATTAGTGAAATTCGTGATTTTTTAAATTCGTGACTCAGTGATTTTGTGAATAGCGATTTGATGAATTATTTAAAGCGATATTTGATTTGTTTGTTGACGTTGTCATAGCGATAGATTTTGAACAATTTAAAAGTTAATTGTTGCGTTAATTTGAATTTGCTAAACGATAAACGATTAGTTGATTTCTTCTGTAAATAAAGTTTAATAACTAATAACTGTTTGGAGTATTTTATTCAATCGAAGATTTGAACCCGTCGTAAATCGGTTACGACAGCGAGTATTATAACAATACATTCAATAGTTATCATCTTTCACACTTTAATTAATTATGTGTGTTTTATTTTGTTGTGTTGACTTGTGTATTATTATTTATATATATAAGATAAGTTTATTATGTACATTACCTATTTTATTTATTTATGGTTTATATTTTCGAATTTCTATATTTTTGTTTGGCAAGGGGTTCTGCCCGTGCTGTTTTGAATAATAATAATAATAAGATTCATATGTCAACCACTTTCGAACGGTTTCATTGAATTTTCATGATTAACTTGGATAATTCTATTTCTAACAAATTGAAAAATTTCCAGAAACTTCTAGTAAGGAAAATTGAAAAAACAAACTTTAAATTGATTAATGCAAGCAATTTGATAAATTCATACAATACAGAATAAAATATGGTCTTCTTCCAAATATTATATATATATATATTTATTTATTTATGAATATTGGCTCTCTTGGCTCTGCTCGACTCTCTCTTGGCTCTGCTCGATGTCGGAGCTGCTTTCGATACGGTCAACCACAAGCTCCTTCTTGATCAACTTGCAAAGTCATATGGCTTGGGTGGAATGGTCCTTGCCTGGTTTGAATCATATTTGTCTGACAGATCGCAAACGGTATGTGTTGATGGCTCTGATCCTGCTTCCTCTCCACTGTTGAAAGGAGTTCCACAGGGATCAATTCTGGGATCCCTGCTCTATGTTCTCTATACGGCTGATATTGTGGATGTTGTTGAGTCACCGGGTTTGAAATGTCACCTTTACGCAGATGATATACAGCTGTATAGTTACTGTAATATCAAAGAAAGACAGGAACTAGCGGACAGAACTCAAACAGGTGTCAGAACTGTCTCAGAATGGATGCTGGCAAATGGATTGAAGCAGAATATTGACAAGACACAATACATCTGGTTGGGTACTCGTCAAAAATTAACTGGTATTCAGGAATATGTAGAGCCAGTCAAAAATCTTGGTGTTTGGATAGATCCTGAATTGAAGATGAATAAACATGTGAAAAATGTCTGCCGATCATATTTTTACCAATTGCGCCAAATCAGACGTATAAAAAAGTACCCGACAAATGAATGCTTAATTTCATTGATGCACAGTTTCATTTGTGGAAGAATAGATTACTGCAGTTCAATCCTCTATGGTACAAGCTTGTATCTTCAAAACTGCATAAAGTCTCTTCTGAACACTGCAGCAAGAATAATTGCTGGTGTAACAAAATATGAATCTGTTTAATCATATATGCAAAATGAGCTTCACTGGTTGCCAGTTTGTTATAGAATCGAATTCAGAATAGCAATGCTTACAAGAGACAACTTGATGGGGCTTGGTCCTCGATACCTTCAACAGCTGATTGTGCCTGTCCCTACGGCTGCCGGGGG